AATTTAACCAATAAAAATTTAATATATTCATGTCAAAATGATCATATTATTATGATTTATCACTTACCAAAAGTTATGGGATAAGTTTTTTCAATATAAAATTATCCACATTTTTTTCATTAATAAAAATATAAATTTGATTAGAAAAATATCAAAAATTCCAAATTATTGAAATATAAAAGGTCAGAGGTTCCTTACGACTAGACGTGCAAATTCCGAACATGACCGACTACCAAAAATTGCTTCGCAACCTCCAACTTTAGGTTTCTTTTTCTCTTTCCTCACTTTCTAGCTCTCTTTATTCTCTCATTCCAGTATATGTTAGCTGATTTAATAAAGAGAAATGGTTAATGGCTTATTTAATTTAGAGATTACCGATGTAGTATATTTGGAAAATGAATACCTGACAGTTCCAAATTCATACTTGTATCGACAAGTGTTAATTTCTTAAGGATTTGTACCGGTACCCAAAAGTTCTAAAAATTTTATTTTAATTAAAACACAATATTATATATATTTTTATGAAGACGATTTTTAAATTTGGCTTATAGTGACTCCTAAGAAAAATTATTTGTTTGGGTAAAAAATATAGGCTATTACAATCTCCTCACTTTAGAAAATATTACCCCTAACATTTCCACAGACAAAATGGATCACTAAAGATAACTTCAATTTATAAATCCATCAAAATAAATCAATACGATTCAAAACCAATACAGGCTATTACACTATGATCCTTTGACCTCAGTCGCTTAATTATGTTCATTCGACCTCAATCGTCAAACTACGACCTTTCGACCTCAATCTCCTAATTATGAACCTTCTGAACACCTTTTCCCAATTACGATCTTCAACCTTAGTCGCATATGGGGTGTGTTTCTCTATGTTTGCATGTGGAAGAATTTTTATGTTGTACTAGAGGCAAAATTTATACTAGTAAAATTGCTTACCACTACACATTCAAATGCTAAATGCTCCCAACTAATGCAAGTGCACATACAAATCAAATAATAAAGTGTCATGAGAAGAGTGTCAAACCCACGAGAAAATAAGTGAATCACAATTTACTCTAGTATTTCCTACTCAAACTACTAAATTTATCCTGCACGAAGAAAGTAAGTGATAATTATTAGAACTATTGAGAAATGTAGGAAATAGTTTAGATAACAAAAAATAAGATGTTTTGGACTAATGATATAGTGAATGAATTTATGTTCTCCTAAGCAGACTCGTCTACAATAGCTGTGAATCAGCGCTTATGCACCTTTAGGTCTCTATCGAGCTTATGAAGGTGTAAAGAAAGGTTTATAGCCTCTCTACAGTTATTATATCTCCATATCTAGATATGAAATCATTTCATTTTAATACACCTATTTGTTTCAACATTCTTCCATCGAAGCAATGCATCACACTATATTTTAACTTTATACATAGTCATTGCACAAATTAAATTAAGTACGGAATATATTGAAAATATTAATTCACATTCATATTCATGATTTACATTAGCATATACATAGATTTTCACATTATCAGTCCAAATTTAGAGTTTAGTCAGCCATAAAAATAAAATTAAGCAAAAGATTTTTCATTAGTTGCTCAAGAAAAGAGCAAAAATAGAAAAGATGAAGAAAGTAACAACTGGAATGAAGAATCACAAACATATCTTGCAGATTGACTCTTCTCGGAGTGATTCTACCCTCAAACCTTCACTCTCCACACTCCTTTTCACTCATAAGTATAATTTTACTATCCTCAGCTCCCATGATTGATCATGCCTTCACTCACTTTATCCCAATTCCTTGCTAAGAACTATAATAATTTCTCTATTTGATTCAAATCTATCTATGGCAATACTAGACTTCTACTTGTAATTACAAATTTCTAATTAAATAGTAAATAAATAAATAAATAAGTTCTAGAGAGAAATTTTATTTTGAGAATCTTATTAATAGCACAAAATAACTAGAATAGTCATATTCATGAAAAATGACCATTTTATCTTATATTTATATTTTTTTAATAAAAGAAGATCACAAAAAATAAAAATAAAAAAATAAAAAGATATTTACATATGTTGATGCTATGATCAGAGCCTTAATAGGCATATGTGGATATATTGATCAAAAAATATTTAGTACACATGAAAAAGCTCCTAAAGTGGCTTGGAATAGTCTCTAAAGGTGATGTTGGAAACCATTAGAAGAGCATACCAACTTACTAATGAAATTATTGGCTACATAGGTATGGGTCTATAACTCCTCCTAACTAGGCAAGGGACCTCTTAGGATAGGGTGAGTGATTCAAACTAATATACCTTGGTATTTAGTGAGTGCAACCTAGTCGTTAGTGAGTACACTCTAGTCTTTAGTGGGTGCACCTTGATCTTTAGCAAGTGTGCCCTAGTTTTTGGAAAGTACACCTTGGTCTTTAACAAGCGCTCCCTGATTTGTAGCGAGTACATGTTGGACTTTGGTGGAGTAAGAACTAGGAAGGAGAGAGAGAGAGAGAGAGAGAGAGAGAGAGAGAGAGAGAGAGAGAGAACACATAGAGGTAGGGCTGCAAATGAACCGAACCGAGCCAAGTATGTGAGTGTTCATGTTTGAGTTCATTTATTAGCAGCTTATTCAAGTTTGCTTCATGTTTGATTCGAGCTTTATTGTTAGTGTTCATGTTTGGTTCGTTTACATTAATGGGTATTCATGTTTGGTTCATGTTCGATTCGTTTAGTGATTATCGAGCTTTAAACAAATGAGCATTAACGAGCTATGTTCGTGAACATATTTAGCGAATTTTGTTGAACTATCAAACAAGCACATTCATGCACATATCTAATAAGTATTCTTGAGCTAACAAATGAGCAAGTTCATAAATATATATAACTAGTGTTTTCGATCTACCAAATAAGCTCGTTCATGAACAAACGATCTATGATTCATCTTATATTTGTTCATGAACAATTTGTTCATGAATCAAGCTTTTATCAAGCTTCTTATTGAGCTTAGTGTCGAGCATGTTCACGAGTTTCAAATGATGTTGTTCACGAACATAAATGAGCCGAACACATTAGTGTTCAAGCTTGTTTATTTAAGGATTGAGTATTTAAAATATTGTACAAGTTTGTTTGTTTAGTTAATTAAACGATCACAAACGAGCTTTAATCGAACAGAGCAACGAGTAGCTCATCGAACGCTTGGTTCGCTTGTAGCCCTACATAGAGCAACAAAAACATAAAAATATAAACATTTCAATAAATTTCTTCTAGATCCACTAAAGAAATGAACTAGGTTCTTTTGTTATAACTATTAGGGGATAAACTAAGAAGAAGAGGAAGAATGCCTCTCATAGTTTCCCTCTTTCCAAATAAGAAAAAGTATCCAAGGGTTAAACCCTCTCTCTATCTTTAATTTATAGGTTGCTTAAGATGTCATCATTAAATATAACCTCATGCCTAAAATGCCAGCCATTGAGAAAGATGGATGTATTTACGAACAATCCACTTATGGCATTATGAGTTAGTGGTTTCCTTACACATCATTGGGGGAGGTGTATTTCTTTTGCGAGGTTGTTTTGATCCTCTGAAGCTAATTGCATGGAAGAGAATTACAACGAGTGAATTTTAATTAAGTTGTTAGGCCTTGACCCAAGGCTCAATGGATAATCTGGACCCACAAGTCCATACGTAGCATTCAATTACCTCACCGAGATGGCCTAATGGCTATTGACTAATTTGATGAAAATTGACAAGGAGTTTTTTGGCAAGATTATTTGTTTCTCGACGAGCCAAGCCAAATATATAGGTGTGATATGAAAGACATGTATATAATTGCTTTAAATAGTGGTATAAGTCTAAGAGATATCTTGAATGGTGATGGAAAAAAATCAATATGAATGAATTTTTCATGTGGAGAGAAAAGTAGTGTGGATATCCAAATATGTGGAGGTAGTAAGACCAAATAACTCAACCTATAACCAACATTTTATATGACATAATATGAAATCTTTACTCGCGGCCTAATTTTAATACAATCATATGCAAGCATAGAAAATTTGCACTATAAATGATAATAACTCAAATATATAGAGAGCATGTTCAACATAATCAATATAGACCCAAAATTTAATGATATGATGATTACTTAAAAATGAAGCTCAAATCAAGTAGAGATTGCATCATTTGTTGATAGGTTAAAATTAGTATTCGTGAGAACATAAAAGAGAAATAAATACCGCAAATTATTCGAAGTAACTTGAAATGAATAAATTTAAAAACACAAATAATAAATAATTAGGAGTGGAACCAAGAAGAGCTCAAGGTGAGCAACTTGTCCACACTGAAAAAAAAAAATCTTAAGAAAATAAATATTTTAACTATTTTGTCTGCATTCAATACACGTAATTATCCAAATTCTAAGAAAAAAAAAATACTTTTCTATTTCATATATAAAATTATGCATCTCACAATTCTATTTTACCCACTCTTAAAAAAAGGTTGGTTCCGCCATACACATGATGTGGGTTAAAAAGTTTAATTATGATAAGATTTTGATCTTGTTTGGCTGGCTTTCTTACTACTTCTTTTAAAAAAAATTGTATAAAAATTAAAATTTTGTAATAATAAATTACTTCAAGAAATAATAAGAAAGCTATTCCAAACGAAGCCTTTGTCTATGCCAACTTTCTTGATATTTTTTAAAACAAATTTTAATATAAGTTTTTAATTCAAAAATTTTTTTGTGCTGCTTTAAAAAGTAGTCCAAGCTGCTCAAACAAAACCTATTAATCACGATATTATAAACTTTCTTTTTTTGAGGAAAAAAAATTACAGGAATGCCACGCCGAACAAATTCATGAGGACACGTCACGAGAATTCCCGACACGTCGCGAGAATTCACGACACGTCGCGCCAAATGCACCGTCGCAAGAGCTTCCAATTTCCATCTTCGCTGAGGGCTAAGGCATCATGATCAAAATGATCAAAATGACCAAAATAACCCGAAGCAACCTTTTGCCGTTTCGCAGTCTAAGGTAGACCATGGTAATTTTCTATTTCAACCTCCCCTTCTCACCTTCTTTATATATATAGCAACACCGGTTGCCAACACCATCAAAGTATTCCTTAACATAGGCATTTCATCAAACATTTTGTTGGCATCCTTTTAAACATCGATGGAGGGTAAAGGAAATAGCGCTAGCGCGGCACCGGCGGAAGCGGCGAAGTGGGGAACACACCAGATGGGCGCTCCGGCACCTCCGCCATCTCATCCGGAAAATCAGCAAGCCGCCGCCTACTGGGGCCCCCACCGCGGCGACGAGGAACGACCACCATACGTATTACTCGAATCAAACTCGCATAACCGCCCTGCAAGCGGATCAAGCCCCATGGAAACAATCCTCGAAGCCTTCAACTCATGGACGCGCAAAGCCGAGACTTTGGCCAGCAACGTATGGCAGAATTTGAAGACGGCGCCGTCGATGATGGACGCCGCCTGGGGAAAGGTGAGCCTGACGGCGAAAGCGTTGACGGAGGGAGGCTTCGAGACTATCTACCGCCAAACTTTTCCGGTGGAACCTACCGATCGCGTCAAAAAGACCTTCGCCTGCTACCTCTCCACCACCACTGGTCCCGTTGCCGGCACGCTCTATTTAACCACGGCAAACGTGGCGTTCTGTAGCGATCGGCCGCTTTCTTTCAGGGCACCGTCGGGGCAAGAGGCATGGAGCTTCTATAAGGTCTTTATTCCGTTAAGTAAGGTTGCTACTGTGGATCCGGTGACGGTGAGGGAGAATCCGCCTGAGAAGTATATCAAGATTGTGACAGTGGATGGGCATGAGTTCTGGTTTATGGGTTTCGTTAGCTATGATAAGGCATCAACTCATCTGCTGAACGCAGTTCACGATGTGGCGGCGGGGAGGCAAGCGGCGGAGGCTCCTGTTTCCGGTTATGGCGGAGAAGCTTTAGCAAAAGAGGTGTGAAAATTGTCGCCTTTACGGGGAGAAAAGAATTTGGAGTAGGTGTGATTGAAGAAAGGATTAGGTGCTGACTGCTGAATGTGTATCTAACAGATCGTAATCGGATTCGTACTGAACCTATGATTTGTTGGGTGATTTTCTGCAGTTTGTATATTTCTGGTTTGATTGAGATTGTTTGATAATAATATAGTGTGCTTGTTTTCAATTATTATACTAGTGATACGATTATAATTTTTTTAAATAAAAAATAAAAAAATTTAAATAAGAAAGGAATTTTATTTTAAAATGATGCCTATTCAAAAAATTTTAAAAATCTTATTTTAAAGCAATAAAAAAGTATAAAGTCATATTTTAAAAGATATTTTTCTGATTTCTTTATATTCATTTAATTAATTTAAGATATTTTTTATTATTTGATATATTTTAATCTGAATAAGTATTAAATATGAAAAATAATAACTTAGATAATTAAAAAAAAGGGAGGGGGATTTACATATATACCACTTTTTTCGTGCTATTTATATATCTTGTTGCATCCTCGATGTTAGAGTAATATAAAATTTAATGTCTTAACATTATACGAAAATCCGTCACACAATCAAATAAGAGAGAGAGTCTAGCATTTATAAGACATTAAGATTTTTACGTGAAAAACCCCTAAAAAAAGGGGAGAACCCACGGGGCCTAACCTAGTATGAATGAATTCGCTAGTATTTGCAGTTAATTACAAATAAGGCCCTTCTTTGGGGAAGGCCTTAGCTTTATGTACGTCTTATAGAGTACTTTATATTGTGTGAATACAAAGAATCACTGTTGATGTGATTGTTTGGTCGGAAGGACTCTAGTCGGTAGGCGACGTAAGCTGGAAGGATCGTTGACAGAGGTCGGAAGGACTGTAGTCGGAGGTCGGAAGGACTGTAGTTGGTGGGCAATGGAGGTCGGAAGGACCATTGTCTAACGACGGAGGTCAGAAAGATGACGTTAGGTAAAAGTCCAGCAATAGATAGAAATCTCACATTGAATAGATGTATGTCTAAAATCTGACAACGGGCAGAAATTCGGCGTCGGGTAGATATCTAGTGATTCGAAGTTTCGTCGTCGGATAGAAGTCCGAATTCAGTCGGCGAGTGGGAGAACTCTGGCGTTAGATGGTCTTCGGACGTCAATTGAAAGTCGGGCAGAACTTCGCCGACACTTGAAAGTCGGGTAGAACTCCAGCATCACTTGAAAATCGGGAGGAACTCTGACGTTATTTAGAAGTCGGGCATAATTCCGGCGTCACTTGGAAGTCGGGCAGAATTCCGGTGTCACTTGGAAGTTGGGCGGAACTCTGATGGTGGTCGATGAGGAGCTTCTTCGATCATTCTCTTCTTCTTCTTCTCCTCTCCTCTCTTCTTGCTTGGTCCCCTCTTAAGAGAAATAAGAGGTTATTTATAATTTTTTGAGAGTGGCATGACCCATAAATAGAAGGAGGATCAAGGGAAAATGTGGAGTGTTTTGGATAGACGGCTGATATTGAATCCATTGATCGTGGGTCATTCGTCAGACATTTGAAGGTCTTAATGATATCAGAATTCGGATATCTGGGGCTCGTTGGATTCGTCTCGTGGAGCTGCTTGATTCGTCTATAAGCATGTCATGTTTTGAAACCGTTTGGTAATCCAAATTGTGGTTTGAACCTTCTAACAATGCTTCGGGTCATCGAATCAGACCCATTTGGGCTCGAATTGAGTTGACTTTGGAGTTGTTGGGTTCGTATTTCTGAGACGATTAGTTCGACTATAAGTTTGCTAAAATCGGAATTCAGATGATCCCATATTTAATTTATGAAATTTTCAAATTGATTTTTGCCTCGAGATTCGTATCTGATCAAGATAATTTTTTGATGACATATCATACCTAAAACCTTAAATTTTAATATTACATATTACTCATAGAATAAATATGAGTGCATGGAATGAAATATTAAAGTTTATAGGATGATATGGATAGTAAGAATGAAATATTCAGTAATATATTTGATATTAAAATTTTATACGAGTGATAAGAATGTAATATTAAAGTTTTAGAAGTTAGATATATAAATAGCATGAAATAAAATGGTATGTACTTAAATCCCTCCAAAAAAAATTGTTCATATACTATTATTCCTAATTATAAGCTATAGCTAAATGAATTGAAACTAGGGGTGTTAATTATGATTTTATTTGGGATGGTATTTTATCATTTTTTTTGGCTGTTTTTGAAAATGTTTTTACTAATTTTCTTTTTAAACGGTAAGAAAAATGTTCCAACAATTCTATGGGCTCAAGATTTGGACTTTGTTTAAACTTAGAGAGGCCCAATGATATTTTGGGACTTTAATTTCTTCTGTAAAGTCGCTAAAGAAAGAACCCAAATCTTTCCCTGCATTGTATGATATAGGACTAGTTCTCCATGCTATAATCAACTAAGATTTGTCTTTTAATATAGTACTATTTTGAAAGAAGGTTGTCTTCCTGGCAGCCAATATGTTACTCAAAGGATATATGTGAAGGGAAAGGGGGTGTTCCTTTTGCATTCATTTTGGTGATTATAGGTTGAAGTCTAATTTCAATTGGCTTGGTTTAACACCTATCCATGCATGTAGTAATGATAGAAAAGCTAGCAATCAGTTAGACATTGAGGGATTTAAGAAGACTAAGAGGAAGTTTAGGAGGAAATGAAAATAAAAGTTTTGAAAATCTTAAATCGTCTATTTCATATTTATAATCAGTTCCTCTCATAGAACAAATTAATATCATAGTCCATCTTAACATACAATATTATGTTTTTGAATTTACATTAGGATTAAATTTGACGAGGTTCGCCTTAACAGTATGTTCAATGAGCGAGTTAAGGTTGAGTTTTCGATCTTCTATTGAGAGTGCACATTTGTTTTGACTTGTGGCTCTTAGTCTTAAACATATTTAAATTTGCTAACTTCAGAGCATGCATGTCCACCCTCAATTTCCTGTAAGTGCATCGAAACACACAAAAACTCGCTTACCAATGTCTTCCCAAAAGCTCTTGATTACACTGACTACAAACATTGTCCATTCTCCCGAATCTCTCACCAATTATTGCATATCTGGCTTTAGTTGTTCACCCTCGTCATTTGATCATACTTGCCTACTCACTTATCAATATCGCAAATGTCACAATCTGACCTGATATGATCTAAAACTGCATAAGTCATACCGTGTTCGATTGTGGCAAGATTAAAATCTAAAGATCTAGATGCAAAAAGCTTGTTACAACTCGACCCGATATGACCCAAAACTGCATAGGTCATACTGTGTACGATTATGGTACACTCAAATCCGGAGATCTAGTTGGAGAAGCATTGAAACAAAACTTTCAATTTAAACATATCATAGAGCCACTACTGAATTCAAATATAAAGTAGAAGACTACTGATTCTCAAAATTAATTTTCTATATATCATACAAAAATATATATACAATATGAGGTATCTACAACAGCGTTAAGAAATAGATAATATAACCAAATAAATACCAAGCCTATAAAATAAAACTAATCAAACCAAAAGACATACCTACAAGCACATATCAGAGCCTGCTATACAAACTACTTAGCTCGCTTCTCCTGACTTGAAAATAGAAGCAAAAAACATGAATGAACTAATACGGTTCAATAGGCTATCACTACTGTTGACCTTGACTTTCATACGAGTGCCCCCGAGGATCTTTGATTGATTAATCAAAAGTCATCGAGCACAATTTGAGCTTGAGATGATTCAAATTGAGTCGAATTAGGCTTAACAAGGTTTGATCAAACTCGATCAATGCCTACGAGCCCCGTTGAGAGCGATTCGAGTCAAATTAGCTTCAATTCTGATTTGATTTCTTGTTAGGTTAATTTGGATGAGTCGAGTCGAATCTAAGTTAACCCAAATCTGAGACAAATCAACTCAGGTTAATTTAAACAAAGCATCAATTGACTTTTGGCTTAACTTGAATCGCTACCTAAATCTTGTAGTTGCATCTACGACTATGATCAAGCGAGATTCGCAGTTTAGCCGAAATCCTGCTATTCAACAGACTTCTGCGATTAAGGCACCAGCAACGAACTGAGCTGTTTAAGAAAATTTTAGAAGCTAGAGCATGATGGTGAGAATGGGTGGGCTTCCCTTTTCTGTAATGACACGCATTTGCTCCAAAATAAAGGCTCAAGGCCGGAGGAGTTCTAGTGATTCGATCCCTGACATCTGAACTCTCTCCCTCTCTCCATCTCTCTTTCGTTCGGACATCCAATCCGGTGACGCCACATCACCCAAATACACTGGGTCTCTGTCTATTTTGGTGACGTGGCGACATCGGATCAGTGTCCGGACGAATCCAGACACCTGACACAGTAATTTGCCCTTCGTCTGAGACCAAAGGCCGGAGGCCTCCTCCCTTGCTCGCTCTCGGCTTCGCACGCTGGTGTCGAATACAACGCTAGCCTCCCTTGTGCGACCGAAGCCTTTCTCCCCTCTAACTTCACCTCCGAGACCGAGCTAGACAGTAACTCGAGTTCCTACTTTGGTGGTCAACTTCCCTCCTCCTTCGAGTAGGTATACTCCTTGTTTTCCCTTCTTCCTTCTTTTTCTATTTCTTCTTCCTTCTTCTTCTCTTTCTTCTTCTTCTTATTCTTCTTCTTCTTCTTCTTCTTCTTCTTTTTCTTCTTTTATCTCCTTCTTTATCTTTCTCCTTACCTCCATTGCCTTCTTCCCCTTCCTTCTTAATGATGTGGAAAATCATTGCAATGATGTTTACCTATCCTAAATGTTGATTTGTATATCTCCATAATGTGTTGGTTAATATGGTTTAAAAAAAAAAATGAATGGTTGGCATGTGAGTCTTGCTTTTGATTCATATTGCATAGCTTAAAGTCTTAGGTGTGAACTTTGAAGGACTATAAGAATGCCATGTCATTCTTTATCAAACATGCATGCCTAGTGCTTGTATTAATGTTTGTTAAGGGGTAATCTAAGCTATGATCAAGTAAAATCACCAAGCAAGCATATCTATGTTTCACCTTATTGGTTAAAAAAAAAAATTCTTATGTGTTTTGGTTAGCAAAAGAGGTGTTGAATGAAACTTTATTTATTTATA